GTAAAAATAGGATTTTTGACAAAACAAGCATGATCCAACTCGATGAAATCAATCCATTGGTCAGGCCCAGCTCAATGATTTTATGGGCCCTCATTTTTTTTAAAAGAAATTCAAAGTCACTGGCCCAAAGCCCAGAGCCGCTTGGCACACGTGTGTGCTTTCTTGTCACGTATGTACCATAAAACCCCAGAAGCGAAGCCCCCCAGCTCCGTCGTCCAATTCTGATTCAGATCAAAGTTTCGTTTCAAAGATGATGAATCTTCTAAGGAGATCAGCGTTATCCATCGTCTCCGCTTCTGGATTCGGAAAATCGGTTTGTCTTTTTTATCCTTAGCTCTCTTTTGATTGTGGGTTTCCTCGAAATCCCTTTTCCTCCGGCACGAGAATTGTTTGGCTTATATTTGTTCTCTAGTACTGCTCCACTCTGTATTTGTCATCAAATTGTGACAAACTAATTTGCTTCTCCACACTCAGTTCCAAACATTTTACCCTTTTTCATCAACAGAAAAAAAGCAATAGTCTTCCCTTTACTTGTTTCTCTTTTTGTTTTCTCCCTTCCGACGCAGTTGATACAAAGAGGAGCATCCATTGCTGATTCGGGTCTCATCAGTGCGGTAACACAAACTTTTCTTTACTGCTTTTGTGCATACATGTCAGCTTCATATCTCTCAGTGTTTGCGTTTTTCTTTTGCAGGACTCCAAAGGAGCTACTGGTCAGCGCACATTTTGTGTAATAAAAATTCAAATCCTAGTACATGGTGTTCTGACAATGATCTGTTTGCAGGACTATTGTTTGGCTTCCGAAACCAGCTAGCAAGAATATCTCGTCCGAAGAGCATCAAGTCATCTTCCTTTTCTAGATCCTTTGCATCAAGAAGTTCCAAAGAACCTGGCCAACAGCTCAATAAGGTCTTCATAAGAATATGCTTTTGACCTCAACTTTTTTTGTGTTCCATCGTGCCCGTCTCTACTTAGCGTCTCCTTTCTATGGTCGCCATATATCACAAGCCAGAGACAACTTTTGTCATCCAATCCTGATATGAAAAGTTAATCAATTGGTTTTCCTGTAGGGGTCTTAATTGCTAATGCCTGCTTTTGTCATTTCTCTTTAAAATGTTTTACAGGCTAAGAAAGAGTTGACGACTGTGGAGGATCCTTTTGACTCTCCAACATACCATATCCCGGAGAAGCCGGTGACCTTTACAGAAGGTGCTTCCTACAGTCTTGTTATTCTGGCTGGGCTTGGGGTCGCTGGAGCTGCTGGGTACGCTGTGTTTAAAGAGCTCATATTTCAACCAAAAGAGTGAGGCGTCAGAACTCTAGTTTGTTTTATCTGGTTTGATACTTGGAGCTGGAAGGATCTAAAGAAAACCGGTCATGTTTTGTAGGTACAAGATCTTTGACAAAGCCTTGAAGAGAATTCAAGATGACGGGCAGGTAATAAGAAAACTATCTCCATAGATTTTGATCGTAGCGGTGGGTCGTGTGTTAATTCAAAGCTTTTGTGATTAGAATGCCAAGATGCTGATATTGACTTGTTAAATAGGTGAGGGTACGGATTGGATCTCCCATCAAAGGATACGGACAAGAAAGCAGAAACCGAGCTGCTCGTCAACGTATACCCAACAGAGTATTTACAGATGAAGATGGAGTAGAGCATGTTGAGGTAATTCATTGTGGAAACCCATTTTTGCTTGTGGACATACATTTTTAACTAAAGAAATAAAGAAGAAAGAGGAAAACTGGGGAGTTTTGTCGGGTAACATAATGAAAACTGAACATGCATCAGGTAAACTTCTACATCCGTGGGCCTCAAGGAGCGGGGAAAGTGTACACGGAGATGTTTAAAGACAAGGAAGATAAGGAATGGAAATACACATACCTGATCGTAGAGGTTTTAACACCTTCCCCAGCCAAACTGATGCTGGAGTCCTATTTGCCCGCCTAAGCACTCCTATTCAGTTGATCCGGAAAAGAAAGATTCTTAAACGGCTGGATTGTTTTAGTTGGGTGTTTGACATTAGAAAGAATGTGTTACACATGAGCTGTTAGGAATGATTTGCTATTGTCTTGAGGAACAGGCATACGTGATTTGGTAATTGAAACACTAGTCTAACCTCTGATGAATGGCTCCATGTTTTGTTCGAAAGGAAAAATGCAATGTTTGGGAGACATTCCCGTATCAACTAAACAATTCATGAAATTCTTGTGCGAATTACTGAAATGAGACATGCTTCCCCAAGGAGAATGCATGCATCATGAAGCAACAATTCTAGTATCAAGTAAACATTGATATTACAATCATAGATCAAACAGTGGTTGTAATATCGGTTTTAGTTGAAATGCAGTGTTATTTCCATTTACAAGAATATTCTGAATCACTCCTATTAAACCCTTACACCGGATGTGTAGCTCCTGTTTATGTCTCTCTCTCTCTCACGTAATCGTTGAAGCAACACGCTATAATGTAATGTTTACCCAGAGTCACTTTCAGTTTCAGGGGCCCTCTGATACATCAATGTGCTTGTATCTGCATGGTACTGCCCGTACAAGGCATAAAGTCCAGTTGCGAGCACACTGACAACAACAAATCTTATCCACGCTTCGTAATGCAACTGCAAAGTAGTGCAACCTCAAAGTTATATCATATTGCATATGGGATTAATACAAACTTAGCTCCAACCGTGCATGTACCTGAGCAAATAAGAAGATGTTGAAGAAAATGCAAACGCATGGCACAATGGGTACACCAGGACAGCAAAACCCAGAACCGGGAGACTGAGCATAAGCCTGGAAGTAAAAAGCTGCAAGGGTTAACATGGAGAAATGCTACGCAGGCATTTGCATGAGGGTATATTTCAACTGCATCGTCATAATATCATTTATAATTGCTCTTTGCAAAACTTCTCCTCAAGACCAAGATTGGCAAAGTTACTTAAATAGTCACAGACTTTTACAAGAATCACATGGAGTTCCAAGTGCCAGAACATGCCACTGCGCATTGGTGATCTCTATTTATGATGTTTAACTGAAAGACTTAGCATCTAGCGTATCAGCAATAGTGACACTCCCGCATTTAATTATTTCGGCGTTATGCAATTGAGAATAGTATTTGCTTATGCTTAAGGCTACTTACTTGGCGATAATGAAGAACTGCTGCAGCAATAACTGCCACACCAACTGAGAGGAGAAGAAATATAATTGAAGCACTGAACCGGTAAAATACGCCAGCACCAAAACCACTGCATGCAATTATAACAAGGCAAATGACACCTTCCTCCCAACTTGATGTCCACCCACTGGACAGCTCCCTTTCTTTCTTATCATTCAATCTCAAAGCCACAACACAAGCCGCAACAACTGAATACCCCGTCTGAAATAATGTTATATTGGAAAGGATAAGCATCAATAAAAAAACTAAGGGATACCAAAAAACTTTAAGACAATGACATACCAATGTACCAACGGACAGGATATGGGATAGACTATGTACATTAAATATGCCAGCTAAAACGGCAGCAACAATGCCACACCAGATTTGAGAGTGAAGAGGTGTATGAAGCGTTGGGTGTATTCTGGAAAAGATTGAAGGCAATAGTCCATCCCTTCCAAGTCCCAGATATAACCTGGACTGTTTATGAGAAATATCATATGACCCGTTGAGAGATACCTTGGTTTGCATGAGAGACGAGTGATGGAATCAAAGAAATCTAGGTACCTGAACATAAAGACCAACTAGCAGAGTTGTTGTGAGTCCAGCAACAGCACCAATACTGATTAAGACTGAGACGAACTTCATCCCCTTTGATGAAAAGGCTTCAGCTAAAGGAGCATCTTCACTGAGGAGACTAAAAGGGACCATCCCAGTGAGCACTAAACATACGCCAATATACAATGTGATACATACGAGAAGGCTCCCCATAATTCCTATTGGGAGGTCACGCTGAACATCACGAATTGGCAGGACATAAGACACTGCGTAAATAGTGAATACATTCAACAGAAATAGACGAGGTGCTTATATGGGCAGACCTGAGGGTTCTTTGATTCTTCAGCAGAATTAGCAACTGCGTCAAAACCAACATATGAAAAGAACACTACAGTAGCTCCAGTGAGTACTGCTTTAAAACCATTTGGAGCAAAAGGAGACCAGTTTGCTACATCAATATCAAAAGCACCGGCACAAATCACAACGAGAACGATCACTACCTATAGAGAAGTATCGGTCAACACTTTAAGCTAGGAGCTTCCTGGTATGAAATTTGATAGAAGCTTACCTTGGTAGCAGTCATAACGGAGTTGACAGCGGAAGATTCTCGCACACCCTGGCATAGAACAAGGGTCAAGAGGGCAAGTAGAATCGGAGCCAAAAGATTCAAAGAGAGAATCCCTCCGAACAAGTCTTGGCCGCTACCCATCCAGAGAGGAAGAGTGCCATTGAGAGGTGGAAAAAGCTCAAGAAGAGCAACTGCATAGCTTGCCAAGCTACGGGAGATACTAGCAGCGCCGATATGATAATCAAGCATGAGTTGCACGAAAACAAGAAAAGCCGTGATTTCGTTGAAAGCAGAATACGAGTACATGTAAGCTCCCCCGACAACTGCCGGGAAACGAGACGCAAGCTCAGCATAGCAGAGGGCGTTGAGCACGCAAGAAGCCCCAGCTAGCAAGAAACTGATCGTCACGCCTACACAATCAATTCATCACCACAACTTATAAGAAATTCTGAACCATAGTCTATGGAAGATTGAGTTACCCAACTGACCGGGTCCAGCGTCCCGAGCGACGGTTCCGGTAACGACGAAGACACCGGCGCCAATGGAAGCGCCGACTCCCAACAGTATGAGGTCGAAAAGACCGAGGCGGCGAACCAAAGAGTCGCCGGGGGAGGACGGCGGAGCCAATGATTTAGACCGACGAGCAGAAGCACAGAATTGCGAAAACCATGTGGCCGAGGAGAGGCGTTGAGTGCTGAGACCTTCGTGGCCTCCCATGGAAAGTCTTCGAGTTTGGTAGATTGACGAGATCCAGACGATGAAATGAAATGGAAACAACGGAAGATCAGCCAGACGGATCTATCCAGCCCAGGATCCGGTTAACGAATGGGCCCAATAGTAACCTGTTAGCCAGCCCTATAAAATAGATAATTTGTTGGATTTATTATATTGGTCGACACATGAAAGGCAATCATCGATCACTACAACTACTTTTCAACTAGTTTATATAAAACTAACTAGGCAAGACCCGCGCCCTGCGCGGGAGTGAANTTNTCGAGAAAGTATANTGCTATAATNNNCATGAGAGAANACTGTGAGTCCTCGTNNTTATACCAAAGATGATCCAAATATGTTATGTTTCGAAAGCATATTTTAGAGAATGATATTTGTGAAATCATATTTCAGAGGATGATCCATTGGATAATAGAATAAATTCAGAACACCATTGAAAAAAAAAAAAGTCTATTATGTTTTCAT